CCAAGTTGCAAAGCTGAAAGTGTTGGTGAAGATTACGAAGCAAATCAGCTACTACTTTTGGGTTGTTTCCAGTTACCAAAATATCATCAACATAGACTAGAATATATATGAAATGAGAATTATGATTGTAGACAAGCAAGGAGGGGTCTGCATTACTATGCTGAAAGCCCCAAGATTGTAAATGTGTAGTTAGTTTAGCCAACCATTGATGTGGAGACTATTTAAGGCCATAAATTGCTTTATGTAAGTAGAAAATATAGTCCGGATGATGCAAATCATTGAAACCTGAGGGTTGATGCATATATACAAGTTCATTCAAATCTCTGTGTAAGAAAGCATATGAAACATCTAACTGAATGATCGACTAATGCCTTTGAACAACTATTGTAATAAAGATACAAATAGTTGGTAATTTAGCCAATGGATTGAAAGTTTTGTTATTTTCAATGCCATACTCTTGTTGATAACATTGGGCAACAAGGTAAGATTTATAACAAGCTATTGAATTGTCTGACTGCCACTTTGTTTTGTAAATCCATTTGCAACCTAGTATTATTTGAGAGACTGGAGGTTTAACAAGATCCCATGTCCCTTTTGTTGAAGAGCCTGAAACTCAGCTGACATAGCATCACGCTAGCATTTATGTTTAATGTCAGCCGAAAAGCAAGTTGGATCAATTTCTTCAACAAGGAGATGTTGAAGATTGAACATAGTTTTTGTCTTAAGCTTTCCAGATTGCAACAAAGTTTTTATTTTGTAAAAAAAAATTATTTTTAGAAAATCCTATCATCAAGATATTTCAAGGTTTCTTCTTAAAGTATGCCACCAATTACTTATTTTAAAAGAATAATTATGACATTTTTCTTTGTGGTTGTAGGCCTTGCTTAATAATATCTCAATTGTCTGAACGTGAAATTATTTAAGAGGAATACCATACATTTATGCTCGTTCTAAAATCAAGGCTGCAAAGAAGAAGAATGTGAGCAATCAAAGTTAGAGAGAATGGGGAAGAAGAATATCTGCTTCTATCATTTCATTCCTTAGTTTCTTATGAATAGTACAAGTACTTATAAGAGGAAATAACATAAAATATCATAGAGAATAAGTGCTTCTACCTAGGCCAATTATGGACCATATGCGGAGTCTAATGTAACCGTAAGTAGGCATGTTTTGGTGGTATACTGACTGCCATAACATGTTAACATCCCCCACAAGTTGATGGTGCATGAGAGACCAGAAGCATGGTTCGAAGAGTTGTAAACCAAAGATGAGGAAGTGCCTTGGTAAAAATATCAGCAATTTGATCCTTTATATTTATGTGGTGTACAGTAATTGTAGTAGACTTAATGCAATCATGAATAAAATGATAATCCACCTCAATATGTTTAGTGCGTGCATGAAATATGGGATTGTGAGCAAGGGCAATAGTTGATACATTATCACAATAGAAAGAGGTGGGTGTTGAAATGGAAAACTAAAAATCTGTCAAGAGATGACGAATCTAAATAATATTAGTGTAGCAATAGCTAACATAAGATATTCAGCCTCTATGGAAGAGCGAGTGATCGTAGCCTTCGTAGGTTGCTTCTTAACACACCAAGAAATGAGAGTATCACCAAAAAAATAAGCAGTATCCCATTGTAGATTTTCTATCAAGGCGATCACGAGCCCAATCTTAATCAACATAAGCATGCAAAGTGGAGGAGTTTTTGCTGATTGGAAGACCAAAGTCTAGGGTTCCTTTAACATAGCGAAGTAGGTGCTTGAGTTCTTTAAAGTGAAGTTGCAAACTACAATGCATAGATTGGCACAACTTATTAAATGCATAAGCAATGTATGGACGTGTGATAGTTAAATATTACAAAGCACCTACGAGATGGCGAAAACATTCTGGATTTACAAATAATGTTAACGAAGAGGCCACGAAAACCTGTTTTAAGGGAAAAGGAGTCACAACCGAATTGTAATTATTTAAACTTGCTCTTTTTTTTTTTTTGAAAGAAGTGCATCAAAATTGCATTAAAACCAAATCACAACTAAGTACAAGTAAGGAGCGGATCACATTCCTCCTTGAGTAAATTTAACAGCAAGGAAGGAATGCAATCAAAGGAAAAACTATCAAAAAAGAAACTCTTCTCCAATGATATAGTAGCACAACAATTAGCTACTTTATTACAACTTCTATGAGCATGGAGGAAAACAACTTTATTAAAATCATTAAGGAAACACAAATCCTTATTCGGCCATCCATCAACATGCCACTTGTTCTTCTTTAGAGAGTCTTGAATGAACTTGATAACATTGGCATTATCACTCTCAATGATCAACCCTTTGCACTCCAACATCCAGCTTTTCAAAAAATCTTTCACCGAAAAAACTGCTTCAAGTTCTAAATGAGCAATATCCCAATGAGTTCCCTTCTTCCGAAATGCACTTATAAACCTGCCTTTGTGGTCTCTTAAGACACCACCAACTCCAGCCAAATTGGAACTAAGCAAAGAAGCATCAACAGTGATCTTGATCCAATCTTTCGGTGGAGGGAACCAAGTACTTTGAGACTCCCTAAGGAGATTAGCACCCCAGCTAGTAAGATATGGACTAGAATTTGATATGGATGAAAACAAAGCATTCGAAGCAACCATAGAGCTTGGCAATGCACCCTTACCATGCTTGACAGCATTCCTATTCTTCCAAGAATGATACACTATATTGCAATAAATATGTACAATTCTAGAATTATTCTGTGCAATGTGTTTTAAACCCCGTAAACAGCAATCAAGAGAGCTAAAAATGGGAATAGAAATACCCCATTCACCCATCTTTACAATAACATCAATCATATATTTGCAATGTATCATTATATGTTCATATGTTTCACTTACTTGACATCCTCTAGGACAGCAATCATCAGTTGAAATCCTACGGTTCTTCAAAAACAGATTGGTTGGAATTGCTTCCTTCCCCAACCTCCACCATAAGATCTCCACCTTTTTCTTGAGTTTTAATTTCTGTAACCAGTTGAAGTAGTCAACATCCTCCAGATTATGCTTGTTAAACAACATTTGCTCATACACCATTGCTGAAATAGTTTTTCCCGAACACTTCTTCATCAATTCCAGCTGATCCTCCTCCTCAAATTCAATATGAATTTGGCTGATCAAGGATACCAGATCTGGGTGGAAAACCTTCTGTAACTTGGTGCAATCCCACTTACCATTACTAAGTAAAAACTGCTGAACGTATACACCATCCACTGAATTACAATCAATAAAGGTTGGCCAACGGTTGATGCATCTATCCAGCAGCCATGTATCATTTAGAACATTAATCTTGTCACCCTTGCCCACTCTCCAACGAACAACCATTCTCAAACATTTACCACCATCCACCAGAATTTTCCAAGCCGTTGAAGTGATCTTCCTTTGGGCTCCATTCATCACATCATTTCCATATCTAGCTACCATTGCACGATGGAACAAAGCTTGTGGTTTCTGAATAAAATTCCAGGCTAACTTGGATCTAAGAGATCCAACTCTATCAAGTGGAGAATGCACACCCAATCCTCCAATACATCTTGGTTTACAAATATCACCCCAAGCCACATAATGCATACCATTGGTCCCATCATTTTTATGCCAAAGAAAACTTCTACAAAGTTTCTCCAACTCATGTAAAACCCTCTTGGGTACCATAGAATGAGTGATTAATAAGTTAGGCATAGATAGCAAAGAGCTATCAATAAGAATCAACTTGCCTCCTAATGAAAGGGACTTTTTTCTCCAAGCATTAAGTTTGTCCATCAAATTACTCAAAATTTTTTGAAAATCAGCCATTTTAATTCTATTAAGAGACATCTTCACTCCCAAATACTTCATCTCTTTAACAACTTTAAAACCAAGAGCTTTAGCAATTTTTTTCTTCATAGAGTACCTAACTACCTTGCCAAACATCATTTGAGATTTGCTTACATTCACTCTTTGTCCAGTCCACTTACAAAAGTCCTCCACAATAGTCTTCAAATTCTTTCCTGAGTCCACAGATGCATGAGAAAATATCAACACATCATCAGCGTAGAGGAGATGAGTAATCAAAGGTCCTCTAGGAGAAATTTGTATGCCAAGCTTCTGTCCCCTTTGCACAATAGAGTTAGATAAGAGTTGAGAACATAATATGAAAAGGTATGGTGAAAGTGGGCATCCCTGACGGAACCCACATTGAGCATCAATCCAATTAGAGTTCCTCCCATTGATGATTATAGAGAACCTCACATCTACAACACACTCCATGAGAAGGTTAGAAAAATCAATAGGAAAGCCATAACAATCAAGGATGTGCCGAAAAGAGATATCCATTCCATACTATCATACGCTTGCTCCATATCAAGTTTCATTGCCATCAACCCCTTCTTATTCTTAGAAATTCTGAATTTGTGAAATATCTCCTGAGCCAAAAGACAATGCTCCACAATAGATCTTCCATGAATGAATGACACTTGTTCCTCTGAAATCATCTTGGATATAACCTTCTTCAATCTATTAACTAACATTGTAGCCACAATTTTATAATTAGTTTGGCAAACACTAATAGGCCTAAAGTTAGAAGGAGTCATAGGATTCTTAATCTTAGATATCAAAATAATCAAAGTATTCTTCCACTCCCTATGCATATGGCAGGTTTTAAAAAGCAATTAACGGCCTTCCAAAGGGTCTCCCACACAATACTCCAATAGCTCTTGTAAAAGGAAAAGGTGACTCCATCTAACCCTGGAGACTTGTTGTTGCCCTGCTGAAAAACCAAATTCTGCAGCTCAATAACTGAGAATTCTGCATTGAGCACATCCATATCATCACATGCAATTTTCTGGTTTTCAAAAACTGCAGGCCAGCCCAACACTTTACACTCCCTGTACTTCCATTTTTTCTCAAAAACATTGATGAATACCTTCTCAATTTGCTCATCCTCATCAAATACATTGTTGAGCACATCTTTGATTTGAGTTATCATATTCCCATTCCTTCTAGCCGTGGCATAGCTATGAAATAATTTGGAATTTGTATCACCTTCCTCATCCACCTAGCCTTTGCCCTTTGGTTCCACCAAGTAGAAAGCCTCTTCAAGGTGACATTAAGTTCATGGACTTTATTTCTAAGAACCAACAGATCATCATCCGACAAATTGACACCCAATGCTTCCTTGTTCTGAAGTTCAAGGATCTCTTTTTTCAATTTCTCCTTTAGCACATTCAAATCTTTACATTTGTTGCTATTCCAGAAAAAGTAAGCTTTTAAAGTGAGATTAAGCTTCCTTTGTAGGATCATAAACTCATCTCCAAAATCCTTCTTGCTCCAAGAGTGAAAAACAATACTCTTGGCTGTAGAGTAAGACCTCCATGTATCCTCAAAGCTGATAGCCTTAGACTTGAGCCGCACCTTTTCATCCATCTTAATGACAATTGGACAATTATCAGAAGCCAATCTCGCAAGATGTCTAGTAACCACTAAAGGAATTTTCTGAATAGCAACAGAATTGACCATACACCTGTCCAGCCTCTCCCATATCCGAGAAGCACCCTCCTTATTGTTACACCAAGTAAACCGAGGCCCCACATAGCCAACATCATGAAAATTAGCATTCATCATGAAGCCTTTCATCTCCCTAGGTCCTTTAGAGAACAAGAACCTCTTTCCACATCTCTTCTCCTCCTTATTAGTAATACAATTGAAGTCTCCACCTATAATAGAAGGAATATCATTCTCCAAGCTCTTCTCTAAATGATTCCAAAGATCACTCCTCTCCTTGCAGCACCTACTACCATAAACAGTAGCAATTCTCCACGTTCCCAAGGTGGGAACTAAAAGATTGCCAATGACCACCTGTGAAGTGGCTTCCATAGCATCAAAGGTCACCATCTTTCTATTCCAAAACACCAGAATACCACCAGATGTACCAACAACAGGGTAGTGAAAAAACTCCCACTCACTCCTTATAAGACAATCAACCTCCTTTCTATCAATGCTAGACAACTTTGTCTCCATAAGCCCAACAAAGAACACATCCTGATCCCAAGACATCTTTCAAATACAAGGAAGCCTCCTTCTTCCTGGCTCCCCTGAAATTCCAAAATAAAATAGAAGACATTTAAACAGGTAATGAAGATCTCTCCCCACTGTTGGGGTTCAATCTTCCAACCTTTTTCTTCTTTTTATGATCAGGCTCAATCGGTCCCAATGATCTCAGTTCTTTAGCTAGTTTTACCTTGGCCATACCACTTTGAGAACCCAAGTCAGTATGGTTACCATCAAGTTCAGGTATATCCAAACTTCTATCCAAGGCTTTATCAGTTTCATCATGCTGCTCTATAACTTCCTCAACATCTTTATCAACTAGTATAGCAAATCGATTGGTTGAAAGAGTTTCACATATCTCCGCACTAGTTTTCTCCACATTAACAGAGCTTTTCCCTGGAACCACATCTGCCTCTTTAACTACTTTAGTATCCTCAGTTCTTGTATTAACTGTCTCCACCTGACGGCTGTTGATGTCTCTGTTCTCAAAATTATTTCCCTTAACCTTCACACCTCTTCCAGCCACAATATCCCTTCTGAATCTTCTATTTTTGAACTGGACATGGATCCAAGGACCATATTCAGCATTGATAACAGAAGGATTACTCTCAACGGCAGACTTCATCCCTTCCCCTGTTACTGTGTCCATCTTCTTCCTTGTTTGATCCTGAATACCAATAGTTACATTATCTGGACATATCTTAGAATCATGACCCACTTTACCACACTGATAGCACAGAAGATCAATTTTCTCATACTCCACCCTTTGGAAAAACCTCCCAACTAAACCTTCAACCCAAACTCCATTCGGCAGCTTCTTCTCCAAGTCAATCCTGACACAAACACGGGCGAATTCACGTTTGCTCCAACGGAAGGTATTGCCATCTAGGTACATTGGCGAACCAAGACATGAAGCTATTCTTGCTATACTATCTTCATCCCAGCAGTACAGAGGTAAGCACGGTAGTCTAATCCAAATGGGAGGAGAGATTCCCTTAAAGGAATTTGGATCAAACATAGGAGTCCACTTATCCATTCCAACAATGAACCCATTCACATACCACAGACCTCTATTCAGTATTTCATCTCCCACCTCACTCGTCATGAATGAACACAAAATCCAGTTCATTCTGATCGACGTCAAATGAAATCCTCCATATTTGCTCCACTGCCTTCTCAATTCTAAACTGCAAACCGAGAACGACACATTATTTCCCAAAACTTTAATCACAATAGAATTCTTCAAAATTCTTGAGTTCTCTGCCTCCTTCTCCGCATTCAACCTGACCGCAACACCATCTTCAGAAAAATCAACCTGGTCTTTGTTGATCGAAATTTTGATAGGCTTCATTTTCAACCAATCATCAGCAACTTCCCCAACACCCTTCTGTTCAGAACTATCACTCTTCTTGATCGTCAGGCTTACATAATCAATTGAATCATTCACCTGGATCATTGAATGATCACCAATTCAAAATAATTCAAAATTCTTCTGACCCTTAGCCGAATTCAAATCATTATCAATAATATGTCCTCCGATCGTATCAAGAACACCAGAAAAATTCTTCACCCTCAGACTAACATTATTCGAAGCTGAATAATCAAGATTACCCAAACCTGGATTACACTGGACATCTCCAATCTTCTGAACCACCAAATCATCAACTATAACATTCTTCCCCTTACCTTCAACAGGATTCTGATGGCTCATAGGTTTAACTCCTTCTTTAATCACAATACCATACGATCCTCTACCATTGGCCCGTAGAGGGCCAGATGGTTGTGGAGAAGTCATACCCGCCGATTAGACACCACCGGTGATCATCCGACACAAATCCTTCAACCGCAGAAAACCCGCAAAAATCGAATTTGAAACAACGAAGAACTTTCTCTCTCTAGAATTCGAACCAGACTATCTAAACTTGCTCTATGAAGTATATCCAAGGTATATTTGGATTGGTGAAGATGATAACCTGTAGGTGTTGAGACAACTTTGTATACCAAGAAAATAGCTTAGAGTGCCCAAGTTGCAAAGCTAAAAGTGTTGGTGAAGATTACGAAGCAAATCAGCAACTACTTTTGGGTTGTTTCCAGTTACCAAAATTTCATCAACATAGACTAGAAGATATATGAAATGAGAATTATGATTGTAGACAGGCAAGGAGGGATCTGCATTACTATGCTGAAAGCCCCAAGTTTGTAAACGTGTAGTGAGTTTAGCAAACCATTGATGTGGAGACTATTTAAGGCCATAAATTGCTTTATGTAAGTATCAAATATAGTCTGAATGATGCGAATCATTGAAAACTGGGGGCTGATGCATATATACAAGTTCACTCAAATCTCCGTGTAAGAAAGCATATAAAACATCTAACTGAATGATCGACTAATGCCTTTGAACAACTATTGTAATAAAGATACAAATAGTTGGTAATTTAGCCAATGGACTGAAAGTTTTGTTATATTCAATGCCATACTCTTGTCGATAACATTGGCTAACAAAGGCAAGATTTATAACAAGCTATTGAATTGTCTGACTGTCTCTTTATTTTTTAAATCCATTTGCAACCTAGTATTATTTGAGAGACTGGCAGTTTAACAAGATCCCACGTCCCTTATTGTTGAAGAGCCTAAAACTCAGCTGACATAGCATAACGCCAGCATTTATGTTTAATGGCAGCCGAAAATTAAGTTGGATCAGTTTCTTCAACAAGGAGATGTTGAAGATTGAACATAGTTTTTGGCTTAAGCTTTCCAGATTGCAACAAAGTTAGCATAGGATGTCGGGTAGGTGGAGGGAGCATGGAGTAGTGTGGGGGAGTTGGAATTTGTATATCTGTAGGTTAGGATGGAGAGTAGGACTCCGTTGGTGGAGCTAATTCATTTTGAAGACCTGATGGTGTAGGTGAAGGTGGAGTAATATTTGAAGGCTTAGAGTTCAGTTGAGGTGTTGAATAAGGAACTAGAATCAACAGAGTTGTAATGGAATTTGTAGTGGAGTTTAGAGATGGAGATGCTATGGATGTGAAAGACATAAAAGGAAAAACTTGCTCATGAAACTGAACATGGTGAGAGATCATGATTTTGTGATTTTACAAGTGATAGTAGTGATATCCTTCATGGTAATGAAGACACAAGCTGAAGATTTTGGGGCAAATTTTTGAGGAGCTGTTGGTTCAAGCCATGGATAAAACAAACACCCAAAAACATTAGATGAGAATATGATGGAGGATGATTTTATAGAAGTTGAAATAAAGAGATAGATGTTGTATTGAAAGAGGGAAGATGACTTATTAAATATACTTCCATTAATACAGATTCAGCCCAAAAAATAGTTGGTAAATGAGCCTATATTAAAAGAGTATGAGCCGTCTCAATGATGTGGCCATGTTACACTCCACAAGACCATTTTGTTGTGGTGTGTTTATGAAACTAAATTGATGTAAAATACCATTTGTGGAGCGAAAATTTTGAAATTGCAAGCTTGTATATTTTGTACCTCCATCATTACAAAATATTTTAATGTGAGTGGAAAATTGTTTTTCAATCATGGATTTAAACATAACAATTTGGAGAATACTTCAGCTTTAGTAACCATTGGATATATCCTTGAAAAATAAGAAAATACATCCAGAAATAAGACATAATAATGATATCCATTAAATGATAAAACTGGGGAAGGACCCCATACATCAGATACGAAAACTTGAAATGGAGAAGTACATGTAGAGGTAGAACTAAGAAATGGTAACTAATGACTTTATGTTGTTATCCATTGATGGCATACATCAGTGGATACTGAAATATTTAAAGAAGGAAAACATGTAGCTATACTAGATAAAATGACTTTATGAGGATGTCCCAACCTGGCATGCGTAGTAGTAAGAAGAGCTTGTTAGGATGATTCGGATGGAATGGCAACGAAATAAAGACCACATGGCACGGAGTTGAGAGAATCAAGCGATTGGTTCTCTATTCCTTTATATTATATCCATGAGGTGTGAAAGAAACATTACAAGCATTGTCAGAAGTTAGTCGGTGAACATAAAGGAGATTATGATAGACCTTATGAATATGAAGAAGAGGAGAAAGAGAAAGCTTACTTTTAGGGGTAGGAAGAAGCCCTTGACCCATGTGAGAAATGGGAAGTGACTGTCCGTTGCCGAGTTGAATTTGTTGAAAGCCATGATACGATTCGACCATTAACAGTTGAGAGGGATCATTTGTAATATGGGATGTGGAACCCATGTCAAGGATCCAGACGGAAGAGGAAATGCCTTGATCTATTATTTAGCCAAAAACGCAGAGGAGTTGGTTTTAGTGTAATTAAAGTTAGTGAAATGCTAGAACTTCTCTACCGAGTGGCTAAGCTTGCCACATATTTGACATTTGATGTGAGGTGAAGAAGTTCTACCACCACGGGAATGAGTGAACTGACCTCGAGCATTGTGAAATGGCTATCGAGATGAGCCACAACCTGGCGTAGCGGCAAGAACAACAGGAGTTTTAGAGATCTGAATAGAATGAATAGCTCGGGCATCCTCATTTTCAAGATTCGTCTCTTCGATGCATAATAAGGAATAAAAATCATCTAGGCTTAGTGGCTAGAGGTTTGTATGAATTGATGTTTTGAACACCTAATAAGAGGTAGGAAAACCATTTAATGTATACATAATCACATCCTCTGAGTCCAGTATACATCTAGCAGTGGTAAGAGTGTGAACCTTCAGTTTGATTTCAGTTAAATACTGTTGCATTGTCTTTTTTGCCATTGAAATATATTAAAGATCATTTTTAATCTAGCGGATTTGGGATCGACACGAGGAATGTAGGCATTTGCCGATTGTTTGCCAAATCTTCAAGCAGGAATGCAGATTGAGTACATACAATAGAAGAGGTGCCAAAATAGTGGAAAAGAGAGCAGCAACTAAGTTTTAATCAATTAACATCTAAGTGGAGAACAATGGGTTGGGTATTATTTACCAGTTTCAAAGGGGATTTGATAG